TTTGGGGAAGACTAAAGATTGAACCCAGGGTCTCACCTACCCTATAAAGATACTCTACATACACTGCTGCATTCCACTGAGCTGATCTCGTTTGTTTTAAAACAGAGTTTCACTGTGTAGCCTTAGCTGTCTGGGAACTCTCTTTGTAGACCAGGCTGGTTTCTGCCTCACAGGTGCTGGGATTGAAGGAGTACAAGGTTTCTTCCTATCTCCTCTTGGTCATCCAACTCCTACCCATATGTTTTGTGTGGTCACTGACTCATCTTCCCCCTGAAGTCTTGGGGGTAAACACTGGTGTTCCCAGTTACCAACACTTTAACTAAGATAGTGTTGATAGCATCCAAGAAAGGTAAAAAAAAGCTACAGTACTATTCACAGAAAAAAAGTTACTGAGTTAGAAGAACAGCCCTTTGCAGCTAATCAGCATATTTACTGTAAACTGTTTTTGAGTCACTAATGTAGGTCTCCGAAAGCAGGTTGTGAGCAAGGACCATATATGTTATAGTGTTAGCATTCACAAGTGAAACCTCACCAGCTTACATCTGAAATCATGTCATTAATTAATTATCAGTTGCTTTGATTAAAGTTCTTGTAATGTTGTGACACTCCTATTAAAATACAAACATCCTCGAGGGAGAGAGCATGCAAAGCTCATTATCAGCAGTTTCCATCTTTGGGGGGATTATTTCTGGATTATCTGATGAAATGAATCACTTTCTGCTTGCAAAGGTATGTGAGTAAAGTTGGCCTCTGAGCAAGCACCATACAGAGCTAATTCTAACAGGACATGGAGGAGAGGCTGTCTGCCGCCAGATTCTACCAACTAACCAAGTGCCTTCTAAGCCAAAGGGGTCTTTGTATGCTTTGAGATACGTGTCTCTTAAGAGAGTTTATTCATTAAATTCCAAATATTTTTCAACTCTGAATAAATACATTTGCTGGATTCTTTAATGTGCTGACCCAAGTCTTTTGCAAGTTCTCAGAAAATACCTTTAGTTGACTCGTTGTGTTCAACAGACAGAAAAAAATGTTCATCTTTTTTTGGGGGGGGGTTGGTTTGTTTTGGTTTTTGAGACAGGGTTTCTCTGTGTAAGAGCCCTGGCAGTCCTGGACTCACTCTGTAGACCAGGCTGACCTTGAACTCACAAAGATCTGCCTAATTCTTTCTCCTGAGTGCTGGAATTAAAGATATGTGCTGTGGCCAGCATGCCCAGCACACATCATTCTTACCTCTTTCTCTCATAGTATCTCAGCTAGGCAGAAAAATCAGCTGTTCTTGTGTTCCACCATCTGTCTGCTCCCTGGACAGCTCATAGTTATCAGGCCCAGAGTCAACAAGTCACATATCCTTCCCATCCTGTCTCTTCTCATCCCTCGTGGGTTTACTTTTAGCCATGTGGTGACTTGACCATACCTCTTGTCCTCATAATCGGTGTCTCCACTCTGGGATGTCTCACACCCTTCTCCTCCTCCAGGGGCTACCACTCTAATGCATGCCCAGTCTTTCTTGCTACACTGTTGAGAGAGCAGCTGAGTGTTCCAACACAACTGTCCCCTGGACATGGCTTGTCCTAAAGCTTAGCGTCCCTCATGTCATTCTCCAGCTCAGAACCCTTCAAGGCACTCACTGCTTGTTGAACTAAACACCCATCCCACCCTCCAGTGCACACTGTAGTCTGATTTCATCTGCCGTCTGCTCTTACATACACTCTAGTAGACCCTGTGTACTCACAAATCCCTTCTACACCTGGAAGAGCTGGATGATATCTGTTCCTCTTTGCTGCCGACCATACCAGCAACTCTATAAGTCTGGGATGGTGTGCTGCTCGCCTCTCCCACACCTCTAGATGCTTTGAGGACAGCTTTGCCAAGGAATGACAGAGTTCTTGAAAGCCACTTGACACACTTCTGAGGTGGAAACTTTGGACAAGTGTCTGAGATCTGGGAATCTGTAGCCCCGGCACCTGCAGGAGACTCTCAGACTGGTACTCTTACACTGGGAAACAGTCACGGCTTTCAGTGACTTTGCAGCTCAAAGTATTTTAAGTTTTATACTCAAATCCTTCTTCTTACAAGTCTACAGACATATGTATGCACACACATATCCCCAAATGATGATGTCATAGTGCTCAGTTGACTGCTGTTTATAAATCACACTCAGTCATTCCAAACCTTCACTATTGACTTGTGGCTCTTACGCCATAGCCACAACTCACATTTTAAAATAATGTTTCACATTCCATAGACACTTGACTGTCTTCTGCACTGGTATGTGTGTTCATGCCATCAGCAGCTGGGACTCTGAGTGACACTAAGCTTGGCTTTAAAAGTGATTCAAGAAAGCTGGCAGTGAAACATGCTAACCTAGGTATCTGGATAGGACAGGATCAAGTTTATGTGCAGATCCACAGGGTGCCAGGTTTAAATGCAGCAGTGTGATTCTTCGACCAGTAAAGCCAAGAGTGCAGTGCAGTCGTCCCCCCCACCCCTGAAGACTTGTCCAGAGACAAAGCTTCAAAGAAGCAAGGGCAGCTCATGTTGGTTCCTAATCTCCTGTTACTTATCAATTTTATGCTTAATTTGCTCCTTTTGGTTTTATGTATTTTGACACAGCTAAGTGTGTAAGTGGATTCCCCATAGTCCTTTAAATGCTATAAAACTTTAATATGGGGAGATCAAAACAATAACAAGCCACACCTCCAAGTCCACATTTAGCTCTTTATCTGAGCTACAGGATAAGCAGTTTCGGTTCGTATTTGATTCCCAAATATTGCCCTGCTTTAAATGCAGTTGCTCCTTGCCTTGCCTTTCTTCCCTTCACTCAGAAGTAAGAAGGTAGACTCTACTACCCTTAACTTGGATTTAAGACTCTCACAGGATAAGTCAGAGTAAAAATGAAAAAAGTGTCATCTTTAAAATTCTGAAGTCATCACCTAACTGCCCAATTTCAGGTGTGCAACCCTGGACTGTCTTTCAGGGAAAAAAAAAAATGCCAGCCGTAGCTTCCTTTTTTCAGAATACTCTAAAAATCTCTGTGTCTTTGATGCACAAAGTTCAATAGAAACACCTTTTAAATAGATTAGTCCTAATGATGGTTGATTATTTGTTGCTTTATTGAATAAAGCACATTTGCTTACAAAAAAAGAGGAAATTCACTTAGCTGCATGTCAGTAACCCAAATTTTGAGTGTACAAATAAAATGGAAAACATTACACAAATTTAATTACAATTCTAGGAAATAAACATGCAAATCAGACGGAGCACAATCTGCAGGCAATGAATGGTCTTCATTCCTGCTCCTGCTGCTCTTCCCCAGTCTTGCAGCCAGCCCCAGCACCTCCTGGACTCAAAGAGGACCACTGTTAAAGAGGGGCATCTGGCATTAACAGCATTCTCCAATCTTCCTAACACTTCGAGCAGGTGCCTCCCTTCCGCTCTTGTTGGGTCAGGTCTGCCCTCTGTAAGCCTCTGCCTTCCTTGCACCTCAAGTGACTTCTCAATGACCGAGGGTCCCCAGACAGGATTTATGAATTAAATTTGCTTTTTGTTATTGTCTTGCTTTTAAGAAAGAAACCAGCCACGCATAGTGGCGCATGTCTTTCTTTCATTGTAGCACTTAGGAGGCAGAGGCAAGCTGATCTCTATAAGTTCTAGGCCAGCCTGGGGGTACACAATGAGACCATGTCTCAAAAACAAAACAACAAAAGCCAACTCTGAATCCTCCACCAGAAGTGGGGGGGGGGGGGTATCACTATTTGCAAAATAAAGTGACTCTCCGGCTTCTGCTCCAGTCTCTCCACCAAGAACAAGCTTACCAGTTTTGTTTTGTTTTTTGTTTTCTCTTGGAGGTTTTCCCCGCACGGGAATCCTCACCCAGGAGCTGCTAGTTCAAGTGGGCACAGGACTAGTGCTGCCTTGTTACATTGGGGCTGCAGGGGAAGGGACAGGGCGGGCGGGGGAGCGCCACGGCTCAGTCCAGCTCCAACATCTGTTTCTCATCTGCGTGTGCTGTTCAGAGGGAGAAAAAAAAGTCTTTAGTAAAGGGTGGGAAAGGCACAGAATTTATTTTTAATCACATGTACACACAATAAGAAAACTAAACCAAAATTTTAAAATAGGCAAGACGTCTGGGCAGGTTGCGGTGAACGCTATGAGCGCTGCAGCCCCTGTCCCGGGCGGGCTACGCGCGTGGGGTCCGAGCTGCTGGCGGGAGCAGCCCGCGCGGCCCCGAGGGCGGAGGCGGAGCGGGGGCGGAGGCAGGGCGGGCGGGGGCGCGGCGCCCTGCGAGCTGGCAGAGCGGAGGGAGGCGGGGAGCGCGCTTGTCAGGTTCCCTCTCGCCCCGGGGGCATCCAGCAGAACCCGGCTCGGAAATCCGCGGGGAAATGGCAAACAGGATTGACGGGTTTCTCGTGCTCCTCGCCAGACACAGCGGCTCATTTCCATAACCGTCTGAGGCGGCGGCGGCGGCGGGACCTGCGGGGACCTCGGCCGCCGCGCACCGGGCCACGCCGACAGGGCCCGGGAGGCGCGTGGGCAGCGGCGGCCGCGAGGAGGACGGCTGCGGCTGGAGCGCGGGGCGCTCGGTAAGAGCCGCGACCCCAGGGCACGCGGGGGCAGGGAGGGTCGCGCGTGGGGCCGGGGCGCAGCTGGACACAGCGGGGCGCGGGGGCGGCGCGCGCTCTCCAGGGCCGCGCGCCCTTCCCGTGAGCAGCGGCGCGCACGAGGCGACCCTGGCGGTCGGCGGAGACCCCTGTGGCGGCTAATCGGGTGCCCCGGGTGGAAGGAGGGTCTGCCTGGGGCTGGGAGGGTAGGGAGGAGGGCCTGCGGGTCTCAGGGGCGCGCGCTCCGCGGAACAAGGCGCCGCTGCCGAAGCTGACACCTTGTGTCCCCCGCCACCTCCGCACCCGCCCCTGATCCCGGCTACGGGCGGCGCTGTCCTCGGCTCACCTTCCCGCGGGCTGCGAGGCCCACGCCCCCGCCTCTGCCAGCCCTCTCGGCCCCGCAACTTTCCTGAGCGCCTGGCCGCAGGAACGGGGCACCGAGGTCCACCCTGGCCCCAGCGGCGCCGTGAGCGCGGGCGGCCGCGGTTCGGCGAAGGACCCGGACAGCTGCGGGCGGGAGAGCGGTCCCGCCAGCCGCCGTGTGAGTCATAGCCTTGGAATCCCACCTTGGCTTGTATTTCCCGTAGAAGGAAACTTGGTTTTTAGGAGAGCGAATAATCATAGCCCTTATTCTTCAGGAGAGGCACTGGGCTCCAGTACCTTGGAAGACTACTTGCCTTTGTTCCCAGACACTTAGGCTGTTTACTTTTCCCTGCGGCTAGCCGGTCGATGCCCTCTGTCCCCGAAAGGGGCTTAAGGGCATGACACCAGTCTCCAGGGTGCGCCTGTGTAAGACCCTGGGTAAGAGACCCGTCACACCCCAGCACCCCACCTTGGGCCTGGGCTGAAAAAGCTGACCCTGTATCTGTGGGGAACCGCTAACCGCCTTAGTCCCCACACCTGCGTTCCCAGCCCCAACCGGACCTAGAGCTCTTAGCCTCCTGGGACTGTAGCTGGCCAGTGCACTTCCTGAGGGACAGCAGGGACCTGAGAAAAGCACCTGTCGGGTCGGGAGCGTTGAAGGGTTTTATTCTAACCATCAAGCCCCTACCTCCACCGTTGGGCGAATCGGACAAAGTGTTGAGATCCTGGCTGGGACCATTTGGAGTCAGTGGGTGAGGAGGTCTTTTGGCTCCCCAGGACAGAGCTCTGCAGTTCTCTGGACCACCCTGGATCACAGAGGTTCCCCCATGCTATCCATGGACTCTGTTTTCCAGCTGCCTTGATGCTCCTTAATAAAACATTCTGTCATTCCCAGTGTCAGGAAGGCGAGGGATCATCCTTCCGTCGTGCCGTTTTATGTCCGATAGCCCATGTCAGATTCCTGGCACTTCCAAACCACATCAGCCACTCCTTTTAGCACCATAATGGCTTCATCCGGAAAAGAAAAGAAAAGAAAAGAAAAGCCCAAATGGTATAGAAACGCCTGTATGAGGAACACTCGATAGAAACACTGACACTTGGCCATCAGCCTTGTAAGGGTGCTGGGGTGGGGGTTATTCCACAGCATCACCCTAGTGACCAAACAGTGGCATAGCAGCCTGAGGGCTACAAGCTAATGCATTAACACTCTCATTTGTAATCCACTCATTTCTGATCTTAAACAAAATCTCTGTCAATAAGCCATGCAGGCTGCATTTCATATTAATAGCCTGAACTCGTGAACTTGGGCTTCTGGATTCCATAGCAGAAGACCCATGCTAAACATGGATACCTAGTACTACACAGCCCTATGTCTCATAAACACCAGGCTTGCTTCCAGAATTGGTTAACATCAGTGTGAGTTCTAAGTAGACCGGGAAGGCTCAGTTGCAGACTCTCCTCTCCACCCCTCCCCCCCCAATCACCCCCAGCTCATTCATGTTTTATCCCAGCTTAAATAAACCACTTGCAGAAACCCAGCCTCTCCATTTAGGATCTTGTGTTTAACAGTTTTCAATTTGAAAAAGAAAAAAAAAAAAAAAACTTGCTGAAACTAGATGTTATAAACAAAAGAAACAGCCATGTTAAAAACTATTCTGCCATGTTTCAAGTTCAAATGCATAATGATGGAGTTTCATATGTTGTGAACAATGCTAACAAATAGAAGCCCTGAGAGTCTTAACAACAGAAAAGCTGCTCCCTAAGTCATTAGAATATAAACAAACTCTGACTACTGGTAAAGCAGCCCAGGGCCCATTAATGTCCTATTAAGCAAAGGTAATTGCTGCCAGGAGCCTGGCAGGGTTCTCTTTCTTTTGGGGGCATGGGTTTGTCAACCTGCTTTTGTTTATATGTAATAAAAGTTCCACCAGGCAAAGGTTTGGGTCCTCACCTCAGAACCCCCTCCCCCAGGTGAGTGTGAATTTCAAGCTGTCAGTCACAGGGGTGTGGTCTTGTCCCCACTGTTCATCTTTTCTGGATATAGGTGTCTTTTAGACTAGGTTAAGAAATTAGATGGCTTCATGAGTATTTTAGCGATTCTGTTCTTGGCTCAGGAGTTTGAGGGGGAAAGAGACCAAAGGGCTGAGTTTGTAAAACTGACAAAGACAAAATTTCTTTGTTGATGACTGAAAGAGTAAAAGAAATGATGTCTTAACACCATTTCTTGATATAGAATTATTTTACACACCCTCATACAACACACATGCTCACCATACGAACAAATCCTCTTCCCTTTTAAAGCATCTCTGATACCTCTTTGGAAAGAAAAGGAAAGCCCACATCAGCTATACCCTAATTCTGGGCACTGAGTAGAGATCCGGGTCCTGTATAATGCAGGGCTGAGGCTGAATTAGAAAACACAGGTGCCCAGTGAAGACAGACTGCTGCCGGTAGTTGATCTGGTAGCCAGAGGACTTTACCACCTTTTGAAGCCAAGATCTCTCCTTTCCTCCGGAAGTGTCATAGTGTACTAGTGTCATAGCATGTGGGGAAATACTGTCTGCCCATGAGACAGTTCACTCTTGCCCTAGCCTGAAGGCAAAAGAATAAACTGGGCCCTTGCTATACATGAAAGAAAATCCATCTTCAGCAAGCAGGCCTGACATCGCCTCAGGAGCAGGTTTTTAAAACACAAATAAGCCATGCAGGTCTGGATATCCTACAGCAGTGATTCTCAACATGTGGGTCATGACCCCTTTGGTAGTCAAAAGGCCTTTCACAAGGTGACCTAAGACCATCAGAAGACAGTTATTTGCATCACAATTCATAATAGTAGCAAAATTACAGTTACAAAGTAGCAATGAAATTTTATGGTGGGAGGTCACCCCAACATGAGGAACTGTGTTAAAGGGTCCCAGAGTTAGGAAGGTTGAGAACCCCTGTCTGAAAGGAACCAGGAATCAGAGGTCTGCTCACTGACCTGTGGCCCCAGACTCTTTCTTTTTCCCTGAAACATACTCCTGACCTTATTTTGAGGGTCGACACTGAGCCCCATGGAAGTGGCCTCCTAGCCTGGATTACACAGGGTCAGAGTCTGGGAGCATTGCAACAGTCCTGAGGTCAGGGTGGGAACCAGAGAGGAGGGTGGTGATGTGTTGACTCTTGGAAAGTTCCTGCCTTGCATCTGGCTTTGCAGTTTAAAGAGTTGCTGGCTGCCTCTGCCCGGAGCCCTGGCTCCTGTTTAATATTCTGCTGCCTGGTTGATGTTGTGCTTGGCTCCTGTGGGACTGCAACTCACGGCTGGAAACTGGAGCCAATTTTCTGTCTTCATCTCACAGTGTTTTGACTGGAGGCAGATCCAGTTCAGGCCGATGAGGGCTGTGGAAACAACTACCGAGTGTCTGTCTGCTTCACCCAGGGAGGAGAGAGTGTGGCAGAGGAACTGGGAAGAGAGACAAGTACTGGGAGGACCCTAGGGACTTCTGTCCTGCCCCTACCCCTCCCCATTAATAGCAGATTTCATCAAAGGGAACTCCTAGGGGCTTGAATAGAAAATTGATTTCACCTTATTAATAGAAGGGAGGCACAGGGCTTCTGGCCCTTCCTCTTAAAGGTGTCTTCACAAGGTCGGGAGGAAAATGCATTTGGGATGCAGAGCAGCTGTCTGAGAGGGGCTGAGCAGATCTGAGAACAATAAGGAATGGGCTCTAAAGATCCGCCCTGAGATGCAAGCTGATGATTGCAGAGGCTAAGCTGAGAGCAGCGAGAGTTTGCTAAGGTGTCCTTGGAAATGTAGTATGGCCGTTTGGGATGAAGGAGACAGGAAGCCTCCCCAAGCACCAGAGACCCTCCTCAGGCTGGCTCCTAACCCAGGCTATTTATCTGTCCCACCTACCCACCCCTTCTTTTCCAGATCTAAGGCTGTCAGAGATGACGCTGGTTCTGTCCATGAATAGATTCTGCGAGCCCATTGTCTCAGAAGGAGCTGCGGAAATTGCCGGGTACCAAACGCTATGGGAGGCTGACAGCTACAGAGGTGCAAGCCCCCCAGGGCCAGCACAGCTTCCTTTGCAGGGAGACCGGGGAGCCAGCCCACAACTGGCAGGTATTGCCTTTGGCCTTCTCCTTAGGAGGTAGTGGCTAGTCAGGCCCTGGAGCTGGGCACCTTGGGAAATTCTACTTAACTTGCTCTACAGTCCATCTGCTGTGGACATCCTGGAGCAGTGGGATTTTGTTTGTTTGTTTGTTTCTATTTTTATTTGTTTTTTAAGGGACTGAATGAACCAGATACTGAAAGTTTGGATTCAGGCTTTGTGTCCCTCAGAAGTGAATGGTCCTCTGGGATGTATACATCACAGGACCCGAAAGGCATAAAGGATTCTGTACCACCACCACCACCACCCCCAACAGCTTCAATCTGCTCCTCTTCATGAAGCACACAATTGACAAGAAAATAGAAATATGTTCTTCTGGGCCTTAATTCTAGTAGTCTCACTTAAGTTCCTTTGAGTGTTTATGAAGCCGTAGTTCTTTCTTTTTCTTTTAAAGGGAAAATGAAATAAAAGCTTCACAAAAGTCTAGTTTCCAAAAAGATTTCAAGGTTCTCAAAGGAGGCCCTGCTGTATTCGTGGTTGACCTGTTAACATTTCTAGAGTGAAACAGAATTTAATCACCCAAATGTTAAGCTTTAATATGTAATTTCATATCTTAAAAGAAAAGCCATCATGACTCCATGCATGTATGCATTTGTTTACTAACCCCGAAAGTGATTCATACCCATGCTCCTACCACCTGTGTGAGGTGTCTGAGTCAATCAATGCTAGTATTGCTTCAGACGGAGTCATGTCCCCTCCCCCACCCACCCACCCACCATCCATGGATTCTGCTGTTTGCCTGTAGGGAGAGTTAAGATCCCAAGCATTTAGTAAATGCTGAAAGGTGGATGACATTTCCCTGTGATGCTGCCTGGAAATCTTTACCTTCCCAGGCTCACAGGATTCAGTCCGCTGCTAGCAACTTTGAAGACAAATGTTTGTTTTTCCATCACTGCGTGTACGGTCAGGAATGTGGCCAAGTTATCCACTAGAGGGAAAGGAAATGGAAGCATTTTGCTTTGAGAACCTCTGGTAGGTCTCGTGTCATTTGTCTATCTGATTTATTACCACAGGATCACATTACAGGGGAATTCCAAATCCTATAAGCACATCCAAGGTCACATACTTCAAGAGGAAGTATACAGAAGAAGAGGATCTTCACCCAACACTCAGCAGCTGCAGCCGTAAAGTATGTCTAAACAGCGGTTATTTTATTAACGGTTACAATGCCTTCTTGAACTGTTTCCAGACATTAAATTGTCCCACCCAAGCAACAGAAGAGAGCCACTTCTTTATGGGTTACATGAATTGCTGTCACTTTTGGGGGGGGACCTGTACTGGGTAGTATTAAGTCAATTTGACACATGCTAAAGTCATCTGAGCAGAGGGAACCTCAATTGAGAAAATGCTTCCATAAGATCAGACTGTGAGCAAGCCTGTAGGGCATTTCCTTAATTAGTAATTGGTAGGAGATAGACCCAGCCCATTGTGGGTGGGGCCATGCCTGGGCTCCTGGTCCTGGGTTCTATCAGAAAGCAGACTGAGGAAGCTATGAGGAGCAAGCCAGTAAGTAAACCCTCCATGGCCTCTGCATCAGCTCCTGCCTCCAGGTTCCTGCCCTGCTTGAGTTCCTGTCCTGACTTCCTTCAGTGATGGACAGTGATGTGGAAGTGTGAACTGAATAAACCCTTTCCTCCCCAAGTTGCTTTGGTTATGTGTTTCCTCACAGGACTAGGACAGGGCCTATGTTACTTTTCACAAGTACTTGAAGAAAGAACCAGAAAGAGACCCTGTGCCTGGAAATAATGAAAGTATATAAGGGAACACACATCTTTTTGCCCATAATTTAGTGTTCTCAGACTGCACTGAGGCCTGGGGCTGCTCTTTGATATTATGTGTTGTGAGATGCACCTGCCTTTCCTGACCCTAGTCTGAGCTCTGCCCACGAGGCTACTGCTGTGTGCTGGTTGGGGTGGTTGTCCAGGAGTTTTCCTGTGGGGGGGTCAACATATTGTCCCTTGGATAGACCTATCTGTGATACATTCTGACACATGTCAAGTTTTTAAAAATCCAGGATTAATTCCCAAGGAAGGACCAAAGATAGCTATTTTCCTTTCCACACAAAGTAAGGGAGTAACACAGTGGGGGAAATGCAGGAGATAAGGGCTGGGTGTCTAAGCATCATTTCTTTTTCCTCTGTGGCACCTTCCCTCCAGAACTCCACTGAGCTCTTCAGTTCAGCGTCTACCAGCTCCCTGTCCCCTCCCCTCAGTGTGCCTCCCCTCCCCAACCCCTCTCCAGGCTTCAGCAGTTGCTTTTTGCCTGTTTGTAAGGAGGCGCCCATGTTGGTATCTTTAGTTTCTGTGTTGTGTCTGTGTCAGCTTTCCAGTTGCTAAAGGATTGTGTCAGCTCTTGAGAAAGTTCAAAGCCCACCTGGGCTACATTGTGAGTTCCCAGGCAGCCTAGGCTACATAGGCAAGGCCATGTTTACTGCTTTTGTTTTTGAGGGAAAAAAAGTTAGCAATAATAACAGCTGCTAATGGACCATCCTTCACCCAGTGTCAGCCTCACAGCCCAGCACTGCATCCCCAACTCCAGTTTCTGTCTGTGTCTCTTTCTATCAGTTGCACAAGCCAACAGGCCCTACCTAACCTAGCCTCACTAACTACAGTTGCCCTCTTCCCAAACAAGACATGTTAAGGGTGGGAAACCCCAGAAGTGTTCTTTGGTAGTATTGTAATTTAAGAAAAGCTGCTCAGGAGAGAAAGATGCCATGTGACAGGGTTCAAGCAGAGGGTGTTTTTTTGGTTTTTTTTTTTTTTGTTTTGTGTGTGTGTGTGTGTGTGTGTGTGTCTTGTTTTTTTAATTAGGAAAAAGGATCATAAAAGGGGGTTGGGAGACCGGCCTCTGTAGACAGGATCAGCAGGAGAGGGGGAAGGGGGGGTGTTGCAGTTAGAGGAGAGAGAAGGATGGGAGGTGGGCGGGGCCCTTTTAAAAGAGGCCATAGTGGATGTGCACAGGTGCTCTCAGTGGCTGCAGCTGAGGGAGTACCCTGTTAGAACTCTAAGGACAGGCCAGTACAGATGCCTGACTACTAACAAGTGGCCCACTCCAGACTTTGACATGTACCCATTAGACCCTGCATCTCAAATCTTTAAAAATATGTGTACTGGGGCTGAGAAATGGCTCAGCAGTTAAGAGCACTGGCTGCCTTTACATATGACCTGAGTTCTGTTCCTAGCACCCACTTGGCAGCTCACAACTGTCTATAATTCCAATTGCTGGGCATCCCATGCCCATTTCTGGCCTCTCTGGGGTGGGGACCAGGTACTCACATAGTACACAGATAGTACAAACACTCAAACACAAAATAATTTTTCAGCCAATAGGGATGACACAGGCCTTAATCCTAGCACTCAGGTAGCAGAGGCAGACAGGGCTTTGTGAGTTCAAGGCTAGCTTTGTCTACACAGTGAGTTCCACAACAGCCAAGGATAGATGATAGAGAGGCCCTTTCTCAAAAAAGTAAAATAATGATGTTACAAATTTTTAAAAATTGATAATAAATTTAAAACATACTGCTGTGAAATGCATGAGTATGCCTCTGCACAAAGACATGTGAAATGCAGCTAGATACATTTTGGCCAGAGCACTCCTTGTCACCAACATCCAAGTCAACCTGAATCCTCCCTGTACTGCTTCGCATCATGTACCCCTCACCCGCACAGCAGGTGCCAGGCAGCCTGGCTTCTGACATCTCCTATGGACTGTCTCAGCTTCTCCTTCACTGTGACCTAAAAGCCTGAGCCTTCTGGCTGGCCCTGCTGAGGCCCACCTAGCAGCGATACCCCAGTGAGTCAGGAAGTGGGTGGGGATGGGACATCCACAGCACCCTGGGCTAGCTTCTGAACGGGCGATGGTATTTTCACAAACTGCATTTCCTGAGCTTTTCTCCTGTCCCTGACTTTTAGACTATTTCCGTTTTTGAGGAGCGGGCACACATCCTTTACATGTCCTTGGAGAAGCTCAGGTTCATCGATGACCCAGAGGTGTACCTGCGGAGATCTGTTCTTATCAACAACCTTATGAAGCGGATCCATGGGGAGATTCTCATGCAGAACAGCTGGTGCCTCCCTGCCTGCTCCCTCAGTGGGGCCTCTGCCCAAGAGTGGTTCCTGGCTCAAGACTGTCCTTACCGCAAACGGCCCCGGGTGGCCAAAGAGGAGTGGGAAAAGTTCCACACTTGCTGTTTTTACCAGGAGTGTGGCAATCACTGCCTGAATCTGCCCCTTTCTGTCAATGCTGGTGTTGAAAGCACTTCAGGTGCTGCCACTACCACATTGGCCTCCTCCCCTTCCTCCTCTTCTTCCTCACCCACCTCCTCGCCATCCTCCTCTTCCCCTCTGCCACTGCCTAGCTGTTCCCACCATGTAGACTTTGATATAGGCAGTGCACCTGTTTACAAGGGCGATGGCCAGATACCTGCCAATGAAATTTTTGTCACTAGCATTAGGTCACTTGGTGTCCAGGAAAAGGCCAAATTCAACGATGGGAAAGTAAGTCGTGATACCAGCAGAGACATTGACGGCCAAGAACCTCTGGGAAATGACCTTGATTTTGAGTGCAAAGGCCAATTTTATGATTATTTTGAGACTGGATATAATGAGAAAAACCACATGAGTGAGTCCTGGAAAAAGTCTTTGAGGAAAAAGGAGCTCTACCCAAGCAATAAACTGTGCTGCAGCAAAGGGAGTAAAATGTGACTGTGCTCCCCACCAGCCCATGGAAGCACGAGCAGCATGACCAGTTTTCTTTTGAATGATTTTGTAGTTTTGTACAACTGATAAAATTATGCAGTGAACACGCCATGTTGTTTCGCTGCCTGGAGAGTAGATTGCACAGAACATCTGTATAAGAGGCATCCACAAGCCAATTATTAATGTGATTCTGCCAAGGAAAGCCAGCTTCATGTTTGAAAGTATATCTTAGTTTTCTTTAAAAAAAAAAAAAAAAAATTGGTAGATTAGGTTGAGGACAACGTGCCCTTGTTATATTCCCACTGCCCCTCCAAGGAGCCCACCGCTTAGCCAAGTTCAACATGTTTGCCAGTCAATTAGGAAGTTATTTGGCAAGCAAATCAATATAACCAGCAGAGATATCTGCATCTTTGACATGATACAGTATTTCTTTCTGAGTAGAAGACTGAAGGCGGGAGGATAGGTGAGATGGTTTTGTGAGTTGTGACATGTTTGTATGGGACAGGATGAGAGGAAATGAAACCCGGCAGGGCAGCCATGTAGGAATTGTGGGGGATGGAGGAGACTGCCCTGCGAGCCCCTAGCCTGCCTGTGACAGGAATGGATGACTGGAGGGGGTATACCGGGCCGTCTTTGATGGGGTGAGTAGGGTGGGGGTGTATAAGGTGGTCTTTATGGGGTGATTGGGGAGGTGATGTACAGGGCGGTCTTGATGGGATGACAAGGAAAGTGGTGTACAGGGCGATCTTGGGTGCCTTACTTTATCTTAATTTTTGCCAATGTGAAAATTAAGGATAAATCTGAGTTACAGCAGGGATTTAACAAATAGGAAAAAACACACAGGGTGGATCCATGCGGTTTGGAAATTTAACTTTGAACTATTGTGTTCAACTTTTGATTCACCATCTTCTTCCTTTGTTTTTGACGCCCAGTGGCTGTGGGTCTGACAATTTTGGGTGGAGATGGAGGAGACAATAGGGAAGGTCCTTAGGAACAGAGAAAGCTGCCTGGGTTTTTCCATGGCAACACATCGTTGTTGGGTCTGGGCTTTCTGAGCTTTGGGTTGTCTTGTTTTCTTGTCCAGTGACGTTCACAGCCCGTGGCATGCGTTATACACGTTATACTTTGACCTGTTTTGCATCATTCCATACGTTTAGACTCCTAAGAGCATGTGGTTTCTATATATGACTTTCGCTGTTGATTGAGAAGCACAATATTAATAGATGATGACGTGGTGATCAATACATTTTATCTTAAAGAATGTAAAGACTGTAGGTTGCAGAACATTATTTTGGAGAAATGGGACTCACTTGACATTGTTGTGTATTTGGCCAATGCACTACTCAAACATTACCTTGAATTTGCACATTGCCAAGTGTCCTCAGTGTGGCACTCTGGTCCAATTCAGCCAGCCCCTCCTCATAAAATGTATTACCATTTCCAAGGCCAAGGATTGGCCTAGTTGACTTGGGCCTTTTAAAATGACTATTCACAGGAATCAAATGCCAAATGGAGGAGATAGGTAAGTTCTCCCACTTTCTCCAAGATGAAGCTTTTTTAATTATTGCTATTAATATTAAATAGGTCTCATTCATACAGTGTATGAGTAGATCATTTGGGAAATTGTCCGCAAGGACCAATTTTTAAAACATGTTCCTGTGTTATGGCTGAATAGTCTAGTAATGTTTTGTCCTTTATTTTCAATATTTGATGAACATTTTGGTGTTGAAATTTTAGGTGATAGATGCTAGTACATGACCGTGTTGTAATAAAGTGAGGTTTTCTTGATATATTATATTTATTAAAATGATCAAAAAATCATTGTTTTTTTTTTACAAATTTCATTTTAATGACTATTTCTGTTTTCTATGTTTCTCTCTATTTAAAAACAAAACAAAAAAAGCCCCTCAAAATGTCTAGAGACAGTACATGATGGCCACATGGGTGTTTAAATAGAAAAGCTTGTTAGAATGAGCCCAATCCTGAGCCATAGGTGATGGCTTTGTGACATGTCAGATTATAAAGACGATGTGTCTATAAGCAGTTTTAACAGCCAGGGAATCGAGAGTGGTTTCACCTTCAAGCCTGCATCTCTATTTCTTAGAAGCTAACGTTTTATTTGATAAAGGGGGCGGTCGAGTTAAAGGCAAATTAATTTGTCAAACACATCAACCTTATTATAAGTGTAGTGCTGTGCAGAGATTTAAATATGAAAGAATGGATTTGCCCTTTTGCTTTTTAACCCCAGCATTTCCAGACAGTGTGATTGATGATCTGGGTGTGTCCATCCTGTGTTATTTGGGAGGTTAGCCCAGACTGACTCAGGCTCCCGCCTCCTGCCTCTACCTCCACCTCCCAAAGGTTGGGATCTCATGTGGATAGAGCTTTTGGCAGTGTCTGAGGATGCCCTCATCTGAGCAGGCCCTGCTCTGTAGTCTCTCTTTCATAGCATAAGGACTCGGTTACTTTAGTCTTCTGGGTTTTGCATTAGGACATTTCTAAAATAATAAAAGAAACTTTCTAAAGCAACAAAAGCAAAAGGCCCTATACAGACATCCAGATTACAGAAATTCATTGTCGTGTGAGTGTATGAGGGATGCCTGTGTGTCTTGAGTCTACCCGGCAGCACTGGCTAGATCTCCCTGCTGTGAGTGGACCCCTTAACTGGGTTCTTTCTGAAGCTTGGGTGATCTCCCATGTAAATAAGCTGGATGTGGTGGCATACACTTTGAAACCCAGAACTGGGGAGATGGAGACAGGGGGATCTCTGGAATTTTTTTTATGAGTCTCCTAGCCTAATCAGTGAGCTTGGGGTCACTGAGAGACCCAGTCCCAAAAAAAGAAGGGAACAGCTCCTGAAGCACAACACTTGAGGTCTTCCTCTGACCTCCACACAGACATCCAACCATGTCTGCTATGTGTGCACACACAACCATCCATCCACGTGTGCATGAGCACACACATGAACACAGGCATGAAAGCACACACACACACACACAGGATTCATTGAAAAAAAAAACAAACCAAGCAAATAACCAAAGTGGCCCTGAGGTACTCAGTCAGAAGAGCACTCGCCAGCCTGCATACTGCTCTGGGTTCAGACCCCAAACATTGCACAACAGCATGGCCAACACACCTGAAATCCCAGTTGGGAAGGTAGAGACACAACTATGAAACCTGCCTGTAATACTTAAGACCTGGTCTAAAAACAAATTCCTGCTCCCCAATATTGCTCATTTCCCCCGCAACTTCTGCTTCATATTTGTAGCCCAGTCATTCCTGTCCCTCCCTTTCTGACAGTGGGTAGTTGTAGACGATGATCCCACAAAGGCACCGTCTGCCCCAACTTTTATTTATTTGTTTTTTTTAGTCAGGGAACTCTATGTAGATAGGCTGGCCTCCATCTCACAGAGATTCTCCTGCCTCTGCCTCCCAAGGGCTGGGTTTAAAGGCCTGTGCCACCACCAGCAACTGCCCTCACTCTTAAAACCCTGCTACCTGCTCTACATTTTGAAACAGTCTCAGGCATAGTATGCAGGGACCAGGAACATGGAGGATGGTGGGAAAGCTTAAAACTAGTAGAAGTTGCTATTTAATAACCTATTGTTATTAGCAAAACATCTTTGATGTGATTTTTCAAGTCAATACAGACTTGGAAGGTTCTACATGCTACTTTGCCCCACAAGTATTCAAGCATGCAGGTGAAGATATCTGTTTTCAGATGCTACAGTGCTGGGTATTGGAAGCCACACAGGAAGCAGACTCCCCCAGAACATGGCTACTACCTCTCCAACCTGTCAGAACATGTAGCACATACAGCTGCACCAATTGCTTCCTTTCTGAGAATCAGAGCAGAAAGCTTGAAGGAGACCCAGGCACTGGGAGATTCCTGTGTGGGGGATGAGCAGCAGATGAGGGAGGCAGGGTTCTTCACTGTTGCTTGGTGTCTATATCCCTCATGCAACTGAGCGCAGAAGAGAAAGTGAGTTGTTCAAATCCATGTCTATGACAGATATTTAAATGAACTTGTAGTTAGGGTTACCCCATCTTTGCCGATCTTGCTAGGCCTCTGCAAAGCCAAGGATGGGTGTAATGATGGCTTCTCTGTCCCAAGGAATAATCCAGCAAAGAGAAAGATGAAATCAGAGTTAGGTGGAAAAGAAGCTACAATGTATGACTTTCAGTAGCCCTCTTTTAAGATCCCTGTGTTTGTGCTCTGTGTGTGTACAACATGTGTGCAGGGAACTTACAGGGCCACCTAAGGTGGTCTCACCCCAGTCACTCTACAGTTTATTCTATAAGTAGAATCCCTCTGATTTGGTCAGACTGGCTAGACCATGACCCCCAGGGTTCCTTCTGTCTCTGCCTCCCCAGTGGTGGGATTACAGGCGTGTATTGCCATGCTAGCTGTTACATGGGTACTAAAGACAGAGCTCAGGTTCTTACCTTTATGCAGCAAGCGCATTACTGACTGAACCATCATCCTAGATGCTCTCACTTTTGAGATGGTGTCTCTCTGTACCTGAGCTTTCCATTTCAGCTAGACTGGCAGCCAGTGAGCCCTGGGGTCTCCTGTCTACACTGTCTCCAAGCACTGGCATTGCAGGTATGCACCACACCTGGCTTTTGACATGGGAGCTGGGTATCCCTAACTAGACCCTCATGCTTATACTGTGAGCCTTTCCCCCTCTCTCCAGCTCTGTTGCTGTGATCTGATTCTGTGGTTTACAACAAATGCATTTGGGATCTTGTAATTTACTACCAGGCACCAGCTCTTGCTTTCTTGGAATTACGGTTGCATCGTGTGAGCAAGGTATATTCTCTTCGCATTACTAAAGTCTCCCTGTTTGAAAGTGATGTGCTCCATGACCTGGGGTGGAACTGTTTAGAATCTGCTTGTGTATTAGTGGGAGAACTCACTTAGGAAACGTACTTGCAAAGATGAAGTTATGAGCACTTGAGTCTCACATCCTGCCATGAAGTGCATCAGCAAGTGAGTTTAATAAAACATGCCGTCTAAAATAGCCTGTAATTTCCTGTCTCCTCATTTCCATTCAGTATCTGTGATGGGCTGAAGAACGATGACTAAACGAAGGGAACTCACAGCCTAGTCTGCTGCTGGTCACAAACCTTTCCTTGAGTGACAGCAGCTTTTGTAAACAGCTCTCTGCTGGGCTAGGGCCCCCCCTACACACACACACACACACACACACACACACACACACACACACACACACAGACACGTTTAGTGTTGATCCAATTTGTTAATTTTGAGAATGCAAACTATTCATTCATAGCTTGAAAC